ATCAATAGTTTTGTTCCAACGCATTATGACTAAAGCCACAAATTATTATATATATATATATTGTGTGTGTGTGTGTGTGTGTGTGTCTCCGAGGTGGGTGTATTCATGTGGCTGTGTGTGAGTGTGAATGCTAAATAGCCTGGAAATGTCAACCCTCCATACTAGTCTTTTAATGACAGACCTAATATGAACTCCATTATTGAAGAAAACAGCAGTGGGAAGACTGAGTTCTTTCTATTTTCTGCATTACGATGAAATAGATTAATCTGACCTAAAACCATATGTGCTATTTTATATTTTATATTCACTCAACAAACTGACTTAAAATTGCATATGTATCCACAGGAAACAGCAACAGTGATGAAACAGAGATAATTCATTCAGAAAGTCAGCAGCCTGGAAAGGTGAGACTTGAAACCACATTTCACCTTCTATTTTTACTTGATTTATTAATTGTTCTTTTTTCTTTTTTACATATCTTCATTGATTTCTTTTTCAGATGTCCAAAGTGAAGAAGATGATGTTAGTGGTTTTCCTAATAGGAAATACAGGGTATCTGGCTGCATTTATAAAAGCTATTGCAAGTATATAATTATCACAAGTGATCATCTCTTATCAGTTGTTCAGGATGCAGTATTTCTGTGATTCAAGGATATTGATTTTACAGTTTACTTTTGCTGCAAATACTTATTTTAAAACTACAATATGTAAGATTTCTGCATTAAAATATCTATAAACTCTAGACCTATGTACTATATGTAGTTGAGTTGTGTACTTATTATCTCAAATGTTTCCAACAGCATTTAAACTCAGAGAAATCTGTCATTTTATTCAGGTAACGCTGCGTCTGTCAATGGCGTCATATCCCCTTTGTGCATGTGTCAGCGTTGTTGTTGTCAACAAAGCTGAGCTAACGTTAGCAGCAGCTCGGCTCGCAGCCCCTCCGGGACGTCCTTTGTCTGACCAACAGCGTGGGAGAAGCAGTGATTTTTTAGGTGGAACTGCTTTATTCAGTGTTTTTAGCGGTTTTAATTAGTGGGTCTGTTTGTTTTGGAGAGGAGGAGACCTCTTTGGGTAATTGGGCTCCTGGTAGAAACCTCCTGAACCATGAACACTGAAGGAATGCTAACTGGGAGAAGCTGACTGCAATGACAGCAATGGTGGTGAAGACAACAAATCCCATGATCCCACAGTACTTCATGTGTTATTGTTTGGATGTGAGAGACCCCCTTGCAGCAGAAATTACATATTGTATGTTTAAGAGAAAATTGTTTTTCGGACCTGCATCGTACTATAGTGTGTATATAGTAGTAATCCATCTCATGCAATTTCTGGATTTACGGGACACCGCGGTCAAGTTGGCAAACTTCTGGTTACAATTTAAAAATAAAACGTTGGTTCATGCTGTGAAAGGGTTGCAGTTTTGTCAGGTAAAGGCACAAAAGCTACTTGGTTAGGATTAGGAAAAGATCGTAAGCTACGGTGAAGAAATTGTTTACTTTTGGTTTCACATGGGACACCAACAGTGGTCTTCTCTGTTTATTGGAGTCATCTACCCCACCACATCCATATGGGGACTGTGTTGCTCTTGATATTTCATCACCCCTTGCATTACTTGAGAACTTAGGAGTGAGACAGGGCTGGTATAGGCAATATCTAAATCTGTTTCTTAACCTTGTTAACATGGTTTTGGCAATAGTTGAATCAGCCCAGCTAATGGATAATTCTGGTTTGCAGTTTTGTCCATCTTTTCCTATCAATAATAAAACCTAGCATCCATCACAGTACAGCAGGTCATTTGAACATGGAAGAAATTTGACCACATGACCTTTCATCTCGTACAAACCAACATTAGGTCAAACTTACATACCACATTGGTCCATGACAAAGTCTTTTAAGTCTATAATGGCCAGACTATCCTATAATAAGCCATGTTCATGTCCCAAGGGATCCAAGAGTGATCAAAACTGCTTTTGTGGACCTTCTGGTTTTTCTAGAACCCCCATAAAACCCAAATTTGCACATCTATATTTTATTTGGTTCCAACTAAGGGTTCGTTGAAGCTTCTTGATCTTAACTCATCGTCCTTCTCTAAAAAAAGTATAGGTATAGTATATGATTGTTAAACAATAAATAAATACATAATATGATTATTAATATGTTATGATATTTAATATTAATAATATCATATGAAATATCCATAAAATGTGTCACTTAGTCAATTTACTTAGTGATAGAAACCACTGTTCTAGTACCCTCAGGCTAAAATATCTTCTTTGCACAAAGGTAATCTCATCATAGGCAGAGCATGTTCACATAACCAAACAAATAAAGCTAGCAAACATTTTTCATATACATATTTTATTGTAGCACGCACTAATCTCTTCAAAACTTGCATGAGGAATACAAGGTGAAAAGCCCCCGCATATTTAGTCAAAAAGAGCCAAGTAGGCCCCAAATGGTCATGGCAGGCAGGGGCTTTTCATTCAATGTGTAGACATCAGCAAGCAATCCTTGAGATTTGTAAGCTATACTTTAACAATGAAGCATACAAACATGAAATGTAAAACAATGCTGTTTAAGGTCGGTTGAGTCTGAGGTCCAAAAAGTACAGAGCTCTTAGAAGCTGCTTTTCATAGTAGTTGGAAATATCAAGGCTTTGTAAATAATGATAAACATCTGTTTATTAAAATCAGCAGACACTGGTGTTTGTATTTAAGAAAATATTTTAGAAATGTCTTGTATGTGGTCATGAAATTCATAATAGAGGGAACCACAAAGAAAAGTGCTTCAGAATAAATACTGGCCTTTAAATGCCCTGTTACATAGAAATTCATAGAATTGTTAAATGTTGGAAAATAAAGCCGGAATTTGATTGACATGAGTAGTTTAAATCTATATATTGTAAGTCAACATTCATTTATAGTGCTATTGTATAAAGAATAAAATACTTCAATTTGTGGAAAACTGTTTCATTATTTGGAATATCCAAAGCACTTGTGAGATTTCTGACAATGAACATCTGTTTTCCACATAGTGCACTTTGTCCTGTAGTCTTGAGCACTATGAAAGCACTGCTCACAAAAACCTGTGCTTATTGGCTTGTCTTACTGTAGGTCATACAAAATAATCTGGAGCTAGTTCACGCAGACAACTCAAATGGTGTCCTGAAGTCGGGAGTGACAAAAGTGAAAAATGAAATCTATCTATCAGCTATATTCGCTAATGCAGGCACAGGGAGAGCATGCAAACTCTGCACAGAGAGACCCCAGCCGGCCGGCAGGTTCTGACTCAGGACCTTCTTGCTGTGAGGCGACAGCACTAACCACTCACAGCCTGCTGAAAACTGAAATGTATTTTTATTCTTGCTAAAATCTTGACATTCACTGTGTGAGTTGTGTGAGTTCTACATTTTTCAAGTCAAAGGTATGGAATTAATATATTTAGTATATTGTGCAGATTTATGCCCATCCAGCTCACCCTGAAATATAATTTGCAGCAAAAAAGCATAGTATGAAAATACAATTAATATACACTGAGCAATGTATCATTTGCTTTATCAAGACGTACAATAACATCAAAATATGTTTTCAAATCTGATTTACATTTATAATGTCAAGAAAAGTTAAGCAAAGAGTGGACTCAACGATACATGTATCTAACATTCAAGCATCTCAGCAAAAAACCTGTCTCAAAAACACTTTCAGCTTACTGTCAGCAAATTCTCATCTTTTTTATAATGGATAGTCTATCTTAATACAATTGTCACATGTCATATGTATGTTGAAAGAGTTATTGGTCACTGTAATAATTTCTCCTGTCCATACTGGCGTGACTACACTGTAAAGGATTGGATACAGAAAATAGTGCTTCTTTTTTTTAAGTATATTTTTGGGGGCTTTTATTGCCTTTATTACAGTGACAGCTGAAGTCAGTGTTATTCACTTCACCTGTCTGTTGTCATAATGTTATGGCTGATCGATGTATTTACAATGGATAAAATTACTGCAAGTAATATAAGGTGTCGATCCTAGTGATAATCAACCCACTGTACACTACCCACCCAGCACCAAGCAGCAGACAGACACAGCTAGACACTATCTGGTGAATGTATGAATTGAGCATCTAACAGCTAAAGAGCCAATTACTTTTCTAAGGAGTTAGGGAAGACCAACTATAGAGCTAAAATGAATATTGGACTTCAGATGGACACAAACATGACTACAAATGAATGATAATGTGGCTTCAGCTGAATGTGTAAAAAAAATCTTAATACACTCACCATAACAACTTTATAATATATGTCAGTGTTTTGTTTATAGCCTGTTTCTGCTGCCCTCAAGTTACCGAAAAAAGCCAATCTTAGCCCTAGCTATGCTAGCTAGCTAACTATAAACTAAGCCCAATCCTCAACCTCAGAGAGCAGCACTGCAGAAAAGACTATTCAAAGGGGACTTCAGGACAAAGATACAACACTACAGTCAGTTATACTGCCAACACAAACCTACAGTTGACGGCCACCTAATATTTCAAACTCAAAATGCTGAAGCCTAATATTAGTTTCTGCTGAACTGAATTTCATCAATGTATATATGGCATGTGAGTACTGTATTAAGTTAAAGTCTTACCCTTTACTACTATTCTTATATGTAAAGGCAAATCAGTTATCAGAGAATAATACTAAAAAAAAGGAAAAATGTCAGGTTTTTAGATTCTGTAATTCTGAATTGGAACTTTTTAAACAGTAATTTAATAGTCAAGGGATAAACCATAAGAAGGAATGCAGTTATGACACATTAATTGATAACCTGGGTTTAGCCTCCATAGAGTACGTTATGTCCAATCTATTGTGGTCACAAACATTGTCATCATCTTTCTAATGTTGCCCAAAGCGTTACAGAAGCAGAAAGTTTAGATTATGTCACAACATGAAACAAACAATTGCAATGTTGCATCTAAGTTTAATGAGTATAACAATTGATGGCCTTATATGGCAAACTGTTGACTTGTTCCTCTTCAGTCATTTTTTGTAAACTCCCCCGCCTCCCAGCGCAGAGCCATGGCACTCTTGCGTCTTCCTCCCGTGTAGTCCTCTGGAAACTGAGAAAGACAGTTGTTTGTTTACCTGCTTTCAAAGCACTTCCTCCACATCCTCCTCCATCACCACCGCCTTCACTCCCACCTCCTCTCTCAGATTATTAGACTGAAGGTGGAATAAGCAAATCAGTTTTGTATGGTAATGTTGCAGATCAGAGCAATCTACATTTTGCCACAAACCTTTCTTTTTACTGTAAAAGAAGACACTCCAATTTAAATTATAAATACTTGTAACGCTACTATTTTTCAGTAGGTATAATACAAACAAAAGAATATTACATCATTTTTGTTGATGATTATGATTGTGTTTGAGCAGGAGCTTACTCTGTGATCGCAGGATAAAGCAGAGCGATCCATCCTATAGGCTGTTTTCATTGGGGATGATGGTGAGGACTTGCACTTCACTGGTACATCAACTAATAACAGACCAAAGATCAAAATTAGATTAAAAGTAAACACACAGTGTTGTAAATAATGTATTGTTCTGAGGTCAGTATTTTGGTTACATACCTGAATTGTCAAATGCCAAAGTGTCCATGTGATTTGACAGCATCCTTTCTGTATTGAACCTGTCTTTGCCGTACAGATTTGCCCTCTCTTTCCTCAGCTCTTCCTCCCTCTGCTTTACCATCTTAATCTCTTCATCCACCAGCGATATTGAGCTTCTTGAACGCAGCTTGAAAAAGGGGTTGTTCAGGAACATTTTTTCTTGGGGCTGCTCACAGGCTTTGTTGAGGGAGAAGTCTGAGGCACTGCGAATAATCAGATTGGATGTCTCTAGGATAATGACGTTGGAGCCATTGTCCTCAGAACGCCACTCACCGGACCGAGCTGCCACGTTGTCTTTGCCATGTCTGGGGCTGGAGGAAAAATCATTGCTAGGGTCAAGAATGATAACGTTGTTTGCTGACACTTCATTTTTCAGTGGTTCCTTTGTGGGTGAGGAGGTGATGATAAATGATGGTGTGAGAGGAGTGCTTATGGACCTGGGAATATTTCGTGATGGAGCGCAGTCAGTTGATTTCCCCATCCTAGAGATGCCCCTTTCTCTTCTGAAGTTTTCCTCCCTTTCTATTGATATGCGAATCTCCCTTTCAACTGGTGTTTCTGGATCATCGTAAGGAGACCTGTAACTGGAATCATCCATGCCAGAATCCTCTGAGCAAGGGCTGAATTGGGTGTGAGGATAATCCCCAACCAGATTCAAGCTCTCCAGATCATGTGCTTTCTTCTGGGTTCTTTCAATGTTGCGAACTGGTGTGTACATAAAACTGTGGCTGCCATGAAAACTGGGTTGCTTGGTTGTGGGTAAGACGATCTTGTTCATGGTTTGCTCCTCCATTTCCTTCCACTGTTTACGAGCCAGCTGGAAGTCCACATGCTCTGTGCTGACATTCTCGCTCTTGGTCTCCTGTATCACACAGAAGTCTTTAGGTAGTTTCTTGTTTGAATCTGAATTGATGTGCTGTTGGTGGTTATAGTTGGCATCTCTGCCATTTTCACTCTCATCCTCAGAGATTTTGGACAATCCTTGAAGGCCTAAAGGGTTATATTTAACCTCTTGAGGAGGAGTCGGAAAGGAAACTTTATCATCCGGTTGTTCCAGAACTTCCTCCACTTGTGGAACCTCAAAACGGACCTCTTCAAAGTTGTGATTGTCTTGTTCTTCAAAGTCTGTTACCTCAACTTTCTGCACAAAAAGTCCCTGGGCACTCAGCTGAAGACTGTCCAAATATGAGTCATCGTCTTCTTTATTTATAGAAGAGGAGAATATTGTTCTCCATTTTTCATCTGTGTCACTATCTGAGGAAGCCGCTGCAATCTCAACTCTCAGACATTCGTCCATTTCGTCAGGGTCAAGGTCATGGCAAGACTCATTGGATACATCTGACATTGCCTCTTGTCTAATGCACTGCTCTAATACTGACTCTTCTGTAATGGGTGGTTCAAATAGGATGTCATGGCCTTCTGGGTCTTCCTCTGTGTCTATTGCCAGATGTTGATAGCTATCATTTTCGGGATTAACCTTATTTTTCTCATCCTCAGGCTCTGGTTCAGGGTATAATTCTAGCTCAGGGTATTGCTCTGGCTCAGGGTAATGGTCTAGTTCAGGGTCTTGTTCTGGCTCAGGGTAGTCCCCCAGTTCAAGGTCTTCTTCAGGCTCAGGGTATTGCTCTAGTTCAGAGTCTTGTTCTGCTTCAGGGTATTTCTCTTGTTCAGGCTCTTGCTGTCGCTCAGGATACTGCTCGGGCTCAGGGTCTTGCTCTGGCACAGGATACTTCTCTGGCTCAGGGATTTGTTCTTGCTCAGGGTCTTGTTCTGGCGTGTCCTGCCTCTTACGATGGGCCTCGTTCTCGTAAACACTGTCAGCACTAGAGAGTGTGTCGGACACAGATGAAGTGATTGACTCATTCCTGTTGAGCTCTTCATGCCCTGGTTCTAATATCAAAGCTTCCTTTTGATCCTGACAAGGCATTTCAGGGCAAACACTGGTGTCAGAGCAGTCAGGCTTGTCAGTCTCAATTGTCTCATTTGGCAGGTCGGTTAATAATTTGTCAAGCATAGCCTTTTCCTCTTGGGAATCTGATGTGTCTGTCTCCAAACAAACTTGCGCATCATCCACCCTGAAATCCTTTCCCTGCTCAGGTGAATCAGCCACAGCGACCTCCACTTCACAGTCCATCGGCAGCTCTGATTGTTCAGTAGTTTCCATGGTGACAGAGAAGGAGTTGTGATTCTCAATTGTGCTGCAACCTTCGTTCAGTTCTTTTCCATCTGCCTCTCCATCCACCAAGGTAGCTTTCTGAAAAAAAGAGAAAATAAGGAAAAGAGACTTTCATTTTCTGGGTGGGGAAGTAGGCATTATTAAGTTGTACCTCATAGCTGAGTTCTGTGCATATGAAACAATAGCAGAGTATTCACAGTATCCTTATTTCACCTTGGCACTTTTGTGCAGTCTCCTTACCCATGTCCTTCTCCAGTGTCTCCTTGTATTTAAAATATCTTTTAATTTTCTGATGACAAGTCTTTTCTTTACTGGTTGTTCATGTCACACAAGCAAATTCAAAGACATTATCATGTAAACAGATAGAAGCTGATGAATTTGACAGGGACAAGCCAGAAATATTATTTGAACATTTGTTCAATATTGCACACAGCACATTAGAAAAATCAAACCATTGTAGTGTAGTAGTGTGTGTATGTATGTATATTTATTGTGAAATAAATACAGCAGCAACTCTTGTGATCCATACAAATAAGAGCCTGAATTGCCACTGAATATTGCCTGTGGCGATAATAATTTTTGTCAATACAGAACTCCTCACAATGATTATCATCCTAACTGTCACAGTGGATCAGCTCATAAACACTTCAGGATGTTATTGTGAATGTAATCACACCAACATGACTTCGGCAAATCCTCCCGAACAAGTCTTGAAGTGCAATAAGCACACTAAAGTTGTCCAAGGACAGCACTTAAATGTTCAGTGCCAGGAGGAGAAACACTTTCAGATGTCTGTGGAGAGATGCAGGTGGTGATGACGACGACAACGATAGTGTCGGGTTATGTGTGAGTGTAAAGGGGGCTTGTGCTTGCCGTTGCTGTGCTAAGTGAATGTTTCTCTAAGTGGGTTATGTGCAGAAAGAGAGGAAGCACATCAAAAGCAGCTGAATTAGACGGCATTATACATCTGTTCTTATGTAAGACTGCTGGGCTGGGTCTGCCTCCCACACACTGCCAGAGAGTCCCTGTAAGGCTGAGCCCCACGATGTGTTCACACATGCATACTCGAAGACATTTAAATTACTATTACTAGTCACTGTGAGAATCATCAGTGGCTACATTCATTCCATGACTTTAAAATGTTTGTGAATACTCTATCTCCTCCCAGTTCATTGTGGGTAACAGTGGCTATAAAACAGCCTTTAGCCAGATCTAAATTATATTATCTGAGCACAGTTCTGGCTGAGTGGGGCTACATGAGTTGTAATCTAATGTAGTACATCTTTGTGTAGAAAACACCAACAGGTAGATGAGTTTAAATTTGGAGATTTGCAGTGTTACAGTTCCACTGAATTTACAGCATTCACTGGTAGTGTTTACAGAGTGATACCTCAAAAAAGCCAACATTTGTTTGTGTTTTATAGTTATGGATAAAAATGCTTTTCTTTATTCATTGTGACTCACTGATGTGTTTTAGTAGTTTTTGGACAACAATGGAGCTCTATGGCTCAGAGGCTTTGGATACACACACAAGGCTTCTTAGTAGGATACAATAATTGTTTGGTTTTGTTTACAAGAAGCAAAATATAGATCATTAAAAATATTTTAGCCCCGACCAATGAATTTTAAAGTCTCATATGTCCGCCATAACTCAATGCCTATTCATGCAATCAACACAAATACATTCATTTAAAAAGATTCAATACTGTGACTGCAGCATGGCATTTCATATATTCAGCACATGATCATATGGTACTCAAAGTGCAAAGTTAGTTCATGATGGGTAAAAATGGATGCAGTCTAAGTCCTGGATGAATATTAAGTAGACATGAATCTTTTGATGTGCAGCATGAGATGCCACCTGAGCAAACTGCACAGGAAAATTCTACAAAGGACTAGTGAACTTTAGTTACCTTTGCTTGTGATCAGAACATACTGTGATTTGGTATCTTGGCAGTGTTTTGTATTAACAGTTGTTGTTGAAACAATCTCACTTTACTTTGCCTTTAGCCTTTTCAAAAAAATGTAGTGTCATTGAATGCATTCACAACTTTTAATCTTAATTAAAAAAAAATTCTAAATATGTTATCCAAATTATCAGCCACCCTGTCTCCTAGGAATTAGGTTTATATTGGATTAAATTGTCTTCCCAATCATCTTGTGTTGTGCTGCCTAGATTATGTTCAGAAGCAACATTTTGGGCTACATTTATGGTCGCAGTGAGGTTGTTGCTGTGAAGTTGATAGACTGAGACTTATGGTTGAAGAACCAGGAATTGCAACTTCCCTGGTTTACTTTGTGAACCAGCTGTCTGGCCTAATTAGCCAGATAATGCTAAAGATCAAAATCCGGTGTGTAGACCTGCAGTGTCTGTAGATGAAAACAGCTCATTCTAAGAGACAAACACACAGTGATTCTTATTTTCAGGTGATTATACACTAATTCAATTCAATTCAATTTTATTTGTATAGCGCCAATTCATAACAGAAGTTATCTAATGAAAGCATACCTATGAATATTATACACATGGTAAATGGACCTGTACTTGTATAGCGCCTTTCTAGCCTTCCGACCACTCAAAGTGCTTTTACACTACACTTTTCACACACATTCACACAGTGATGGCAAAGTCCATCGAACAGAAACTTCACGCACCGGTGCTGTGCATCGGGAGCAATTTGGGGTTCAGTATCTTGCTCAAGGATACTTCGACACGTGGCAGAAGGAGCCGGGGATTGAACCAACAACCCTCCGATTAGGGGACAACCCGCTCTGCCTCTGAGCCACAGCCGCCCTCTACTATCATATGTGATATGTGTTAATATAAACCATGTTGATATTATATATCATATGTATTTATTATTATTATTATTATTATTATTATTATATTAATAATATATTATTATTATTATTATTATTATTATTATATAACAATAAGATATTATCTATTGTATGTAGATCTTCTTGAATAGTCAAGTATGTATTATACATATGCTATATATCACATCATATCTTTATATGTGTACATATTATATATATTGTGTATATATATTATAGTATATATGTATGCACACCTTGCACAGGCTGAATATATGACACATGTTTACATCATATCAATATTAATGTATAATATCTATGTGTATACATGTATATCTGTTCATTCTCATCTAACCCATAACAACTTGTACGAACAATTCCAATCTGGTTTCCGCCCCCTCCATAGCACTGAATCTGCACTAATCAAAATCACAAACGACCTCCTCCTGGCAGCCGACTCTGGTTTACTCACTATTCTCATCCTCCTCGATCTGAGTGCGGCCTTCGACACCATCTCTCACACTATCCTCCTCAACAGATTAATTTCCATTGGTATTTCACTCACAGCCCTTGACTGGTTTAATTCCTACCTCTCAGGCCGCACTCAGTTCATCCAACTCCAATCCTTCAGTTCCCACCCGTCCCCCGTTACCACTGGCGTGCCCCAGGGCTCTGTCCTGGGGCCCCTTCTCTTCATCATCTACCTCCTTCCCCTTGGCAATATCTTCTGTAAATATAACATCCACTTTCATTGCTACGCGGATGACACCCAGCTCTACCTCTCCAGCAAACCAAATTCCACTCTCCCACCTTCCTCCCTCACTGACTGCTTCACCGAGCTCAAATCCTGGTTCTCCTCCAACTTCCTCAAACTCAACAGTGATAAAACCGAATTTCTTTTTATTGGCACTAAATCAACCCTCTCAAAAGCTAACAGTTTTTCCCTCACCATCGACCACTCCTCTGTCTCCCCTTCCCCCCAGGTTAAGAGTCTGGGTGTCATCCTCGACAGCACATTATCTTTCCAATCCCATATCAATAACATCACCCGGTCTGCATATTTCCACCTACGCAATATTAATCGACTCCGCCCCTCCCTTTCTCCCCACTCCACTGCCATCCTTGTACACAGCCTTGTCATCTCCCGCATCGACAACTGCAACTCCCTTCTCTTCGGTCTAGCTCACAAATACCTCCATAAACTTCAACTGGTTCAGAACTCTGCAGCTCGAATTATCACCAGAACCCCCTCCATCCACCACATCACCCCTGTTCTACAGCAACTCCACTGGCTCCTGGTAAAACTCCGCAATGACTTCAAAATCCTCCTATTCACGTTCAAGGCCATCCACAACCTCTCCCCTCCTTATCTGTCCGAACTCCTCCACATCGCCAACCCTTCCCGTTCCCTCAGATCTGCCTCCTCTGTCCACCTCTCTGTCCCTCCCGCCCGCCTCGTCACCATGGGGAGCAGGGCTTTCAGCCGCTCTGCCCCCCAACTCTGGAACTCACTCCCACCGGACCTCAGGAACCTGGACTCTCTCACACTCTTCAAATCAAGATTAAAAACTCACCTATTCAGAACTGCCTACCCCACTTAACCATCTACATTGTCTTTTCTTATCTGTTTCTTATTTCTTTTTTTTTTTTTTTTTTTGTTGTACGGTGTCCTCGAGTGCCCAGAGAGGTGCCTCTAATAATCTAATGTATTATTATTATTATTATTATTAGTCATCATATTATATATGCATTATTATTATTATATTATTATAAATATTTTTAATATTATCATTATATACTGTTATAATTATATACTGTTATTAACAATAACACTACCATCATGTCATCAGTACTATTACCACCATCTTGCAACTACAACTCTTTGCACCTTACCTACCTATTTATCTTTGTTTATCTTTTCTATCTAAGTATTTTATTCTATTGTTGTATTTTATTCTATTGTATTTTATTGTATTTTAATGTACCTGGCTGCTATGGCGACCCAATTTCCCTCCAGGGATTAATAAAGTCTATCTATCTATCTATCTATCTATCTATCTATCTATCTA